ATTTATTCCCAGCACATTTGCCCTTATGGCTGTGCACAAGCAAACTGCCGCCTCTAAATCCGCTAGCCCCGCGATCAAGCTGCAGCATGGCATCGTTGGAGGACTCCCAATTACCGCTCCCACCAATCCACCAACTAAATTTGCACATACACCCAACTTCAGAGCATCTCTCGGGCACCTGCCTTGCCCATTGCCACCTCCGCCGCCATTGCCCGAACCACCACCATTTCCAGCTCCACCGCCATTGCCGGCACCACTGCCGTTTCCAGAACCTCCACCACCAATGTTATGGCAAGTGTCACAATGGTTTCCAGTAACAAGAACAAAGAAGAGGAGATTCAGTGATAGGAAAAGAGTAACTGAGGCCTGAGTTTTGAAAGCCATGTCAACAAGGTTAAAGTTGAACTATATATATGTTTGCTACCTACTAATGACAAAAGGAGTTTAATTCTGAAGAGGATGGTTGAATTGTGGTAGTAACGATGTCTATTTATACTTGTAACAAGGCTGGCCGCTGCACATATACAATTATAGACGTACCAACTAATTGAAGCTACTATTAGCATATATTTGGAGTAGAAAATTCCCTCCGAATTAAGATATATATAGTCTTAAATCAAAGTGGAGTATAATTGTCCGATTTGGTTCAAGCCCGCATGATTTTTCCTAAAATATCTCACACCATAAGAATATTTCTTTTGTAGTTTTCTTTGTTCGAAAATCTATTAATCTTCCCCTCGAACTAATTAAGTTCCACAGGACTCATCACCAAGCATCTCGGATTAAGTTCATCAACATTAATTGTGTACCACTCACATCGTCCAAGTATTTATACCCTCTGAAGCCCACAAGCCAGCTTCTTTTTGTGTGTATGTCTCGAAGCTCCGGGAAAGCAGTAAACCGAGCCCCACACTATCAAAACTACTATAGGCTCGGATATTAAGCCAACTCAAAGATAATCTTAACATGATGTGATATATATTGTCCCCTTTGGCCTGACCTTGTACGCTTTTTATCAGTAGGGCTTACACAACTTAGAATATCTCGGACACTACCTTATGTAATTTTCTTTTCTTTTTAACTACCAATTTAAGACTTTGTTCGCACACCCAACTATATATAACTTCAAGTATTGAAAAAATATTGTATCCTTGAATGGTAATGCATATGAGTTGTGTGGTGTTGAAAATGTTAAGGAAGCATGGCTATAATTGTATTTGGCTGAGATTACTTAATTAATTGCTTACAGCTCTGCTTTTGGCTTCTACAAAGTACAAATATTATAAACTGCCGTGATCCAAGGCCGTATATCTACAGAAAAATGTTTTCCATAGAGACTTCCCACGCCTTGAGCAATTATAGTACATAATTCTCAATTCTCATAACATGGTTGTTGAAATATTTCCCCATATACGCGTTTATCTGAGCACTCCAAATTAGAATTCTTTGAACATAACTCCATGTCAAGGCAAACTTAATCAAATTATTGGAACAATGACTGCTTTATTATCATATACTCGTGCATCTTTTTCATTAGAATGAAATGGAAAGACATGCAAAATGGGGAAAAAACAAGCTCATATTTTTTCTCACAAATTTTCAACGGATACTTGTTTCATAACGATTTTATTCAATAGTTGAGCATGAAAAATTGGAGAAACAAATTTAGGTTCGCCAGTTGAACTATGATCTCTACTAATGATGCACTAGGAAATAAGCATAAAGGATATTAAGTAAATTTCTTTGCGGGTAATCGACAGATACAGGACAAGATATAAGCAAAATTATAAGAATAATGAAGTTTAGAGCCTCCGAATAACGGGATAGGGTTGTTGCTTGAATCTAATTGAGGTAATTAATTAAGTATTCCTGTAGGTTCATGTGATGTATTAGTTTAGTAGTCATATCCAAATGAAAGATATCGGCACCATTATTGTCTAACCTAATTTTTTCTCGCTTGAGTCTAAAAGTTTGATGATTATCTAAAGTCAGAAGATGTGCAAGTGGTTCATATATAGATGAATTATAATTGAGATGTCAGTTTGATCACGACGTTTAGTGCACACCGTGATGTAGTAGTATATATTAAGCGGCTAAGACTAATCAGATAATATATTCAAGCTAAATAATTATTACAAATTCTATGGATATGAAATTCTCTGGAAGTCTATATGCTAGACATATATTTTACGTTAATTGGTTAAGCCTAAACACTAAGGGGCGTTTGGTAGTAGGTATCAGAGAAAATAATGCAAGCATTAGCTCTATGCACTGCTAATACTTTGTTTGGTACCTTTTTTCAACTTGTATTAGTTATACATCATACTTGGCATTATCCTATGCATAAGTAAAGCATAGAAAACTATGGCATTAATAATACCAAGGCTTTAATGCATGCATTAGCATGGTTAAAGACAAAATTGTCCTTAAAGTCCCTTAAAGCTAGAGAATATGTAGGGCATTTTTGAAAGGAACTATTTTTTTAAAAAAATTATGCAATGCATTATAATTTTAATACACCACACCAAACAATAGATAAGAAATAATATTTGCATAACTAATGCTTGCATTATTAATACACATTATTCCGCACTATTCTTATACATCCTACCAAACGACCCCTAAATAACTTATGCATCTTTTATTACACATGGTGAGTGGATGTAACGATCCGACCGGTGGTTTTGTATAATTGCGCCCCGTTTCACCTTTTGATGCTCCACACATATGTGTTTATGGTTTTATGACTTACGAGGTTGATTAATTTTGTTCCGAGAAGACTTCAGGTAGATTTGGACCCTTTGATTCTTGGCTAGAAGCCTAAGTTGTTTATGTTACCAATGGTTGACTTTTGTAAAAACGACCCCGGAATAATGTTTTATGACTTTGATACCTTCGTATTGTGATTGACTTGGTCATATGACGGAATCGAATTCGGAAGTCCGTAGGTTGATTTGCGTTATTTTGTCGAAATTTGGCAATTTGAAGTTGAAAAGTTGGATCGTAGGTTGACTTTTAACTATCAGTTCGCAATTTAATTTTGTAACTTGGAATAGGTCTGTTATGCTATTTAGAACTTGTCTGCAAAATTTGGTATCATTTGGAGTTGAATTAATAGAATTCAGATGCCTAGTTGCAATTCTAGAAGTTCTTGAAATTTACTTTGAAATTATGCGTTTTGGTGTCTGATTCGTAGTTCTAAATGTTATTTTTGTATTTTGATCACGTGAGCGAATTCATATGATGTTTTTAGACTTGTGTAGATGTTTGATTTGGATCCCCGAGGGCTCGGATGAGTTTTCAGACATGTTTCAGAATGTTTTGGACTGAAAATAGAATTGCTAGTGTTGTTCATGCTCTTTTATCGCAATTACAAACATCAGCCATGCAATTGCAAAGGTGACAGAGGGGTTTCAGATGCCGCAAATGCGACTTCCCTTTGGATTTACGAAATAGGCAGGCCAGAGGGCTGGTTCGCAATTGCGACTTCTATGAGGCTGTCAGGATTCGCAAATGCGATCCCTGATTTGCAATTGCGAGGGTTCGCATATGCGACATCTACAGCTGGTCATAAGGGCTGGGGGACGGGATTTTTCAACATATTCTCTCATTTTAGAACCATAGACTCGGTAGGAGGCGATTTGGAGAGTGGATTTTCATATACAAATATTCAGTAAGTGATTCTAGTCAATTTCCAACTATATTTTATCAATATATCTTAGATTTAACATCAAAATCATGTAAATTAAAGTAAAAATTGGTGAAACTTTGTCTAGTTTTTGAAAAATAAGTATTTGAGTTCTAAGAGTCGATTTGGACTAGGAATTTTAAACAAATTATATATATGAATTCGTGGGGTTATGAGTAGTCAGAATCTACCTTAGGACCCGAGTTTTGACCGGGCGGGCCTCGAGTTGACTTTTATTGACTTTTTAAGAAAAGTGTAAAGATCATAGCTTTATTTATTGTAATTAATTTTCCTTGCATTGTTTATGGTATTAAGTCGACTTTGGTTAGATTTGAGCCATGTGGAGGTAAATTTTAGGGGAAAAGCTATTTTCGAGGGATGGGTTGGCCTTATTGAAGTAAGTATCTTGCCTAACTTTATGTAGGGGAAACTACTCCTTAGGATTTGGGATTGATTGTGTCATTTGTGCTATGTGAAGCTGTGTACGCAAGGTGACGAGTGGGTACACAAGTTATATGTGGTATTTGACCGGTTTAGACTACTTAGACTCTTTTCATGCTTTAATTGAATTGCCATATCATGTTTTAAATTCTCATAGTCAAACTACTCTTACTTGTGTTAGTCTATCCTTACACGTCTTAAATGACTTTGTTAACACTTGTTCTACATCTTACTTGATATTTTTCTCTTATGCTTTAGATGAAGTTGTTGTCTCTTTCATTATTATATGTTATCTCTTCCATTGTTGATTTATCATTATTTGAAGTCATTATTACATGTTATCTCTTCTATTGTTGATTATCCTTATTTGAAGTCATCGTTACCTGTTATCTCTTCCATTAGTGATTTATCATTATTTGAAGTCATTATTACATGTTATATCTTTCATTGTTGATTATCCTTATTTGAAGTCATCGTTACATGTTATCTCTTTCATTATGAGTTATTCTTATTTAATATCGTGGTTACACATTATTTCTTTCATTATTGAGTTATTGGTGTTGAAGTTGTGAAAGTCGTTATCACATTGAGGCGAAGTTATTAATTGTTGAGATATCTTTCTTGTTGAGAAATTTACATTCATTGTTATTGTTGATATTCTTGTACACATTGTAGTTGAGCCATGGCCTATTGTTGTGGAAATATTGATATTGTTGATTATTGGCAAGTTGTGACATATGTTCACTTGCGGTGCGAGTTGTTATTGTGATGTGATATTGACGCGCAGACGACGGTATAAGGATATGGGTTAATGTGCATGCGACGACATAAGGTGGGACTTATGTGCGTGTTGCTTGTAAGGGAATTACTTGATGTCATGCGGCGTCATAAGGTGGGCTAAAATACGTGTAGCTATTTCGAAAAAAATGTTTCAACACTATTTAAATGTAAGGCTCACGTGGCAGTATAAGGAAAGATTGTGATTGAAATTGAGAAATGTGAATACGAGGCGGTACCTCAGTTGTGATTGTTGTGGTGTACGAGACGGTAACTCGGTTAATTCTTGTTGTATACGAGGAACTATTGCGATTATGATTCTTGTTGTTTATTTCATGTTATAAAGAGTTATTGGTGGAACACTTCTTGTTACTTTGATTCTTCCTTGTCTTAATCAGTTTTGGTCCATATTTGACTATTGTGTTTCTCTTTAATTGCTTCATTTAGGTGATTTCTAGGCTTACAATTCTGTCATTAGTCTATGTTATTAACTTGTTTTGTATCATTTGTTTCTCCGCCTTCCATTACTTCTAGTTATTACGTTTTCATTCTGTTATTATGTCCTAGTAGGTGTCTTGACCTGGCCTTGTCACTACTCTACTGAGGTTAGACTTGATATTTACTGGGTATCGTTGTGGTGTACCCATACTACGCTTGTGCACATCTTTTTGTGTGGATTCAGGTATGTCTGCTCGTGCTAGACATTAGTGTTTGATTGTAGCTGTTTGCCGGAGACTTTAAGGTATACCTGCTCGGTGTTCGCGGGCTCTAGAGTCACCTTCCGTTATCTTTATAGTATTGTTGTTTTCCTTTATTAGATGGTGTTGTAGTAGGTATTTTGGAACATTCTGTAGAAGCTTATTACTCAGTCTTATCGGGTTTTGGGAGTATTGTAGTTGTGTTTCACTTATCGAGATATTTATGAGAATTGTTAGTTTATATTATGTTTTCGCTTTTATTTCTGTCAAAATCTCTCATTTGTTAAGCTTACCTAGTCTTAGGAACTAGGTGCTATCACAACATCTTAAGGATAGGAAATCGGGGCCGTGAACGTGGATCTCAAATGTCTTTTACCAATTACTCTCAACTCTTGAGCGAAATGTTTGCAAATCTTGCTATAAGCAAAACAGTTAATTATCTTTTGAAATGTAGTGAGTGACTCCTCGCAACTTGTTTGAAAATTAGTGTTTGCCGATAATGCTGAATGATGGCCTTTACATTCCCCAGTTGACATGGGAGTCAAAGATTCTTATGGACGCTGAAACCGCTCTAACAATTTGTTACTCAACCACATGAATTCAACTCCATAATTTGTTTTATTAGTACTGTGATGTTAGATTTATTTAGCATAAGATTTGTCTTCATTGAGAAAATAAAGTATGAACGGTTTGAATCGGTTGCCACACTTATGTAAAGTAAACCAAAAGAAAAGAAGCGGACTAGGATTAATATTGGAGATTAAGGGTGCATATAAGTCAGTTTGGTTCAAATTTTTTAAATATTAAATCAAATCAATGGTGTCAGGTTTTAAATCTATAAACCTAATCAAACCAATAAATTCGGGTTTTTCAATCTCGGTTTTCCTCGGATTTTTTGATTTTTTTCGGGTTTTCTGGTTTTTTACGATAAATTCTTCATAGCACAAAGTATGTAACTTGTGTTCCAAATATTTCTTTAGTCTTAGTAGGATACAACTATATAATATATTTTTCGAGAAAATAACACAATAATATGAGATGAGTCGTAGCATTGTACTAAAATATTAAATAACAAAGATAATAAAATCGCTTAAAACAAATATTGCTAATTAATAAGCACTATTAATTGCATGACTAAGCACTAAAGAAAAAGATAAACTAAGTTATGCATTTTCATTATATACCAATGCAAAACTAAAAATAGATATCCAACACTATTATTATTTCTAGTGCTGAATTGAATTTATTTTGTTAGCATTAGTATTTATTTGAACTTTATTTGAGTTATTACATTTATGGGCTATAAAATTTATTGGACCATTCAAGAATGTTAAGTCTAAACTTGAAATAATACATTAAAAGATAAAACTATTAAAAAAGTTTAAGAAATATTTATTAGTTACATTACAATAAATATTTTTAAAAATTATATAAATGTAATATCGGATTGGTTTGGTTCCGGTTTGACTTTTTTTTTTAGTTAAAACCAAACTAAACCAATTAGGGATGATTTCATTCCCTCTGGATTTCTTTGTTTGAAATTTGCATATTTGTCTATCCTGTATGTTATTTACATTTTAATAAACTCCACCACCATGTGGTGGTTTTAATTTAAAAAAAATAATAATGTAAGGAGGAACGAGGATTAGCAGTAAGTATGTTGACATTGAAGTTGTTCTAATAATGAGGGTAATTTGTTAAGTAATGGGAAACAGGAAAGGGGCATCAGGCATGGCTTAAAATATACATCATGCAGATTTCAGATCACGGGCATCATTACTGTTTGTAGTATAAGGTTCCCTAGCTGTAATCTGATAATTTGGCTCAGAGTCAGGATATCCTTCCTTGAGAAACGTTTTTTCAACACCACGCACCACACACATTACTAGTTTAATATCTCCGTAAACTTTCTTCTTGCAGTATAAATACCCTGCATTGGTACCAGAATTATACCATCTTCTCTTTACAATCTTTGTAGGAATTAAGTACATTTTGCCTTATCTTCCTTATAACGATATGGCTTCCAAAACAAGTGCCTCAGTTACCCTTTTCCTCTCTTTGAATCTCCTTTTCTTTGCCATAGTCAGTGGAACTGATTGTGGCTCTTGTCATTATAATCTTCCTAGCACCGGTAATGGTGGTGGCAATAGTGGTAATATTGGTGGCTCGGGCAATGGCGGCGGCTCTGGCAACGGAGGAGGTTCGGGTTATGGCGGCAGAGGTGGCAATGGACAAGCCAGGTGCCCCAGAGATGCTCTGAAGTTGGGTGTATGTGCTAATTTACTCGGTGGATTGGTGGGCGCGGTAATTGGGACTCCTCCAACGATGCCATGCTGCAGTTTGATCGCGGGGCTGGCGGATTTAGAGGCGGCAGTTTGTTTGTGCACAGCCATAAGAGCAAATGTGCTGGGAATAAATCTGAATGTGCCACTCTCTCTCAGTCTTGTTCTCAACAACTGCGGAAGGAATCCTCCTACTGGCTTCACTTGCTAAGCCTACGTACCCAAATGCCTATTTCAGCCTTTCTTATGTCAGCATTTTGTTTTTGCATCAATTTTCATTTATGATCATTTGTTCTATGTTGTGCTAATTGTTATTGCAAAATTAAAGCGAGCGAGCTTGCAAAATGAAATCAGGTTCGTGAAGTAGTTGATTTCACATTTGCACTCAAAGGTTCCCTTTGACTACTCCAGGGGTTGTAAGATGGCTGCCTAACCCAATTTTTCACTAGAAAAAAGTGAAAAATAAAATATAATAAAACAAAGAAAATGGTGAAGAATAATTTCTTTAGATAACTTGGAATGCTCAAGACTAGCTGTCAGATAAGAAAAATGTTTCTAAATCCACAGAGATAATTACAGTGTGCAATTGTAATTGTTTGGCATATTTAATTACTTCCCTAAATATAATCATTGTGATTGTTTGGTAGTAATTATTTGTACATCGATTCTTCAAAGAAATGTGCAGTTTTCATGGTATCAATTGAGAAATTCCGAAACTCAAAAAAAATTGGAGTGCGTTGAAGTAGGCTATCTCGATTTGTCAAGTGAATTTAAGGGAGAACTCGCAAAAGTTTCAAGTTTGAACAATAGTCATGTCCTGCTAGCTATTTTATTCGATTGATTAAAACATAAATAATACAAAGTGGATACCTATGACTCTGTTCTGACTCTGTCTAGAAAGCCTCTAAGAAATGCTGAATAATAAGACAAAATTCTGGAATCAACGAACTCCAAAAACCAAAATGGAGCTCACCAAGTCTACTAATAATAGGAGGAGGATATCCTAGCTCGTAGCTTGCTTACCTGCAAAATATGTGCCTACATTGACGTATGTCAATGTAGGTTCCTATGAAGAGAACGCCAGTACAACACAATGGTACTCAATAAGTAAATATAACCTCCCGCTAAAGCTGGAACGAGACTCTAAAATAAGTATGTATGCATAATAAAAGAAAATTCTAAAAACGTCCGATGAAGTGTTGAAATAAACAACTCATATATATAGTATAAAGCTCTTCTTGATGTCATTCATACACAAATTCTCTTTCTTTTCCTTTCTATTAGAAAAATATAAAATTCAAATAGATAAATATATAAACGTTCTCGAAAGAATCCTTATAAATTTTCTAAAGCATTTTGTTTTCTTTTTTTTGCTGGGGAGTTCCATTGACTCTGACATTCTTTCTTATTCTTATTCTGAAAATGTCACGATATGATCAACATGGTGGACGATCCCAACCCGATAGTCTGGACCTCATTCCTGTGGAGTCTTATAGTTCAATGTTCTAGTATGCTCTCGTTCTTGTGCGTTATCAGGGCACTTCTATTATAGTACCCGAACCAACTCTACACTAGTCTCCTACTCTGGCACGAGTAGTATCGGGGTAACATAAACAACTAGAGGCTATGAACCCTTCTCAAAGATTTGAGGAAAACTCCCAAAATATTCTTCTGAGTAATTATTGCATCACAAAATTTAACACAATGGTATATCTTCACAGTTCTCATCAAAATAATTCCATAAAATCATGTAATTTTTTTTAATAGTTTATACTTTAAAGAAATATATGCAAGTAATGAATGTACAAGGCATGATTTACGAAATAACATACTATTCTTGAGTTAATAACCATGATAATTATCTAAGATCTTTTCTATAATTCTAATGAATAATGCGAGTCGGCTCATTCCATTTAGAGCCCACATTAACGTCCTATACAGTCCAACAAATATTTAAGGCATGATCTTTGTGAGAAGACGACTTAATACTTCGTCCGTCTGGCAATGATGAGGACAGTCTCTGAGCATCTTCTTGTACCTTTCCCATACTTGACGCAGTGTCTCGCCCGCTCGTTGTTCAAACCCAAGAATTTGACTCCTCAATACCTTTGTTTTCTTAGTGGGGAAGAACTTGATTAAGAATTTCCTTGCCAAATCATCCCAAGTGCGGATTGAATTTGCTGGCTCTTTATTCAACCATTCCTTAGCTTCCCCAATCAGTGAAAAGGGGAAAAGTGTTAGCCTGACATAGTCCTTGGAAACGTTCGGATAGTTGTAGATATCCGTAATTTCCAAGAAATTCTGAATGTGCCTATGCGGGTCTTCATGAGGCAAACCCACAAACAGCCCTGTGTCTTGGATCAGTTGCACCATGTATTATTTCAGCTCAAAGTGGCCAGTGATGTCAGGCTTCACAATAGCCAAAGTCATATTAGCCAGACTGGGTCTTGCGACTTCAATCACCGCGCGTTCCTCATTACCCGCCATCTCAATTGGCTGTGGTTGAACTTCGATGTCCAACTCTCTTTCAATTCTGGTTCTCGCGTCCACCTCTCTCCTCAACCTGTGAAGTGTTCGTTCAATTTCGGGATCAAAATAAGGAGGTTGTTTGCGCTTATACTTCTTCGCATTCAATAGAAACTCCTGTATTAGCACAAACAAAGTGAACTAACGTTAAAACTCGAATAAATAAGTAATAAAAGCTCAATTCAGTCAAGTAGCTAATTTCTAAGTCCCCGGCAACGGCGCCAAAAACTTGTTGCGACCAAAAACACCCACGCAAGTGCACGTGATCGTCAAGTAATAGAGTAGTGAGTAGAGTATCGTTCCCACGAAGACTTATGATCAACTGTTGACTGATTCAAACCCAATTTCTTTATCTACCCAAGAGATTGTTCATAAAAGAGATATGTAATTGTTTTACTACCTAACTATAAAGAATTAATCTAACCAAAGCAAGTAACCAAACAGATAGCAATCACAAGTAACGAACAATAGGAGAAGATATTCCAGGGTCACGGGTGTAATACAATCGTGTTGTGTCCTTGGCTCAAAATGACTAATCAATTTATCTAGGTTATTGATTGACAGGGTTGATATTACTCATAAGAATCTGTCGAGTTCTTACTCGCCTGTTCAAGTCAACTCAATGCCTATATGTCTATGGAATTAAGATTAACAAGAACGCATTTACAATTCCTGTATTCCAACCAAACAAGGCAATTGGGTATATGTCTATCCCAATTGCAAATCTTTTCCCCGAGGCTCGGGTTCAAGAACTTGCTCTGTTTAATTCTATATGCAATCTAAAGTTCCCACTTTCGAGTTTAACTGAAGATTCGTAGATAGTATTTCACTGTTAGCTACTCAGCAAAATAATTAAGAACAAAATTAAATTTATAACCCAATATGATAAACCAATTTAGTTAAATTAAACTTCAAACAACAACATTCATATTTTACCCACGACCCTAGAACAATGAGTCTTAGCTGCTCATACTAGGGTTCATCATAAACAAGTTCAATTTCATCACAAACAGCAAAAACAAAAGAAGAAAAGAAGACTTTGATTATCAAAACTCCTCCTTGCCTCTTGCCTCTCTATCTCCTCCTCTAAACTATGAAAAACTTGATAATCTAACCTTGGGGCGAGCTTGACTTTATGTAGGTTAAGTGGGTTTCTCTCCAGATTTTCAATTTTACCCCTAAATAACGTTTCTCCGGATCGGACACACGCGAACTATTGCGCGAAGTATGGAGTTCGCACGTGAATTCGCGCGCTTCTCTTGGATTCCAGGCAGAAAAGCTCGCGAACTATCGCGCGAAGTTTGGAAGTTAGCGCGTTACTTAGCGCGCTTCAGTAGCTCGATTTTGTCCATTTTTCTGTCTCGTCCTTGCGCACACTCGACTCCTAGGGGTTGTTCTTGCTCATAAATCATTCCAATTTCCTCTTGAAAGCATCATTTATGCTCCTCATCCTGCAATGTATACATATCACAATTAGAGCCTATTTTTCATCAATTAACCATGATATATCATCGGAATATAATCAAGCAGAAGCATAAACAATAGCTAAATCACCTAGATTTCGCCAATTATCAGAGACTTCATATTGTTTGGAGAAAGCAACATCCTATTAATCACATACGCTGCACATTTCATACCTTCAGCCTACAAGGCTCTAGGTAAATTCTTGGCATGAAGCCAACTCTTACATGTCTCCGTTAAGGGTCGGATCTTTCTTTAAGCCTCTTCATTTTTTTGTGGCGCATATCAGCTCTCTTTTAATGCTATGCTGACGACAAAAGGAAAGAAACTCATCTGACGTGAACTCACCGCCATTATCAGTTTGCAACCACCTTATTCTGGAATCAAGTTCACCTTCAACTGTTTCTTTGAACTCCACAAACTTGTTGAAAACTTCTGACTTGTGCTTCACAAAATAAACCCAAGTGAATCTAGTAAAATCATCAATGAAAATTAGCATATAAGAATAGCCTAAGAATGAAGGAGTTTTCATTGGCCCCATCAAGTCATTGTGAATAAGTTCTAGTGGGGCATTGCACCTTGACAAGGATCTGTCAAATGGAAGACGATGTCCCTTTCCATATTGACATCCTTCACAAACCTCTTTTCCACCAAATTTTTTTAAGTTGGCAATCCTTTAACTAGATTCAATTTTACCATGGCTTTTAATTTATCCATGCTAAGATGTCCATGTCTAGCATACCAAATATATGTGTTATCATTGCTACTTATCTTCTCAATATATGAATGAGAGGTAGACAAGACATATAAATTGTTAACTCTCTTACCTGAGTGAGTGATTATTGCCATGATCACCTTGATATTTCGGAGGAACTTCACATCATGTGGGCCAAATAGCAAATAGTTTCTAGCATCTACAGTAGTTGCAACTAAAAATAGATTTTTTTCATTCCTGGAACATGAAAGACAATGTTGAGGGTGATAGTATCTGTTTGCTTATCGTTGATCACAACAGTGCCTTTTTCTCCACATTATAGACTGTATTATCTGCTGTAACAATGATATCATGTCCGATGTATTCGCGAAAGGTGTAGAATTTGGATTTATCTCTACTGAGATGGTGCCCACATCCTGAATCCACGATCCAGTCTCTTTCAAAATTTATGGAAGTCATGGTATTTATTGCTCGAGTCTCCGCTGCGAAGCACTTTCCCCAGTTTCCTTGGTTTGAGCCATATTGCTCTTTTTGGATTGATAATATCTTTTTATGTGCCCGACTTTGCCACAATGGTAACATTTAAAAAGCTTTTTACCGCTACTAGAAGACTCCCCCTTCTTTCCTGGCGAGCTTGAACCACTTGAGGATTGAAAGTGCATGCTATCTCTTGATTCCCTTTAAAGTTTCTCTTATCAGTGACAATAGCATTTCCTTCCTCTTCTTTGATAGATACACCAGCCATATGCTTGGTTAGTAGCTCTTGTGACGATAGCAAATTCTCAAATTCTTCCAAAGATAGTTGTTGAACCCATCCTTGAATTGATGTAACAAAGGGAATATATTCTGGCTTTAAATCACGAATAATAATTCTTCTTATTCGTGCTTCAGGGATAGCCTCTTCCAGATTCAATAGAGAAGTTTCGAAACACAGATTTTTAACCTTCAAAAAATACTCGGCGATGGAGAGATTACCTTGAGTGGGGTTAGCTAACTCATTCTCCAAAATTTGTAGCCGAGCTTCATCCTTCTTGTTGACTAGACGATTGAAGGTCCTCCATATTTGATGAGCTGATTTACACCTTATAATATGATCAAATAAATTAGGAGAGATAGACCTCTTTTGGATAAACTCTGACTTAACATTAATCTGCTTCCACTTCTTACGCGGATTGTTATTTTCTGGTGCGTCAGTAGGAGGACTTGTGTTACTTCCATTGACAACTTTCCACAAATCCTCATCAACAAGGTATGACTCCATACATGTCTTTCATACCTTGTAGTTGGACTAGTTCAATAACTCCATCCTCAGTCCATTAGCATGACCACCAAATCCATTTAGAGAAACAAGTTGAATCAACCACTAACCTGACCATGAAATCTAGAAGCCGACTTACGGCTCTGATACCATATAAAGAATAGCAGAAGAAGAGTATTATTTGGAGACCTTCTGCTAGCCCAAGATCGTTAACTAAGATTGGAGGATTCAACTAAAGAAGATGAAGCTTTCAAAGAGAAGGAAAGTTTTGGAGACGAAAACTTTGTTTAGGAAAGAAGACTTTCTTGATTTTGGCTTTATTACAAATGCCTAAGACTTCTCCTATTTATACTTGTCTAGGGATGATTCTAGATACAAAAATAATCTAGACAATTCTATCACTTTCTACTTATATATTCCTTAAATATCCAAGACTCTAGAATATTTAAATATTTCTTAAGTACAACAAATATCCAAGATATTACTCCATAACTTTCTAGAAACTTCTTCTAATTATTTTTCTTACTCTTCCAAAAATCAACTTTTTTTCACACCTTCAACAAGACCCAAGTACCTGCTGCTCCACCTTTTTGTGTGCTTGAATCGCTGGAGAAGGATGCAGAGGGAATAACAACTTTTGTTAAATATCTATCTACTGATGTGTGTAATGTACTAGCTACCATGGGTAATCAAAGTGTCCTAAGTGACACTACCTTACCCTGTAATCAATGTTCCCTTAGTGACGCTATTATGATATGTAATCGTATGATATTGTTCTAGTATTAATAAATATTCTCGTCTTTCCTAAAAAACAAAATCCAAACAACTCAAGAGACAATCAAACGATCAACGGTACAAGGACCTATTAGTCAATTATTGAATTAATCATTTTGTGAGGAGATGAGCAACTCAATATGCTTGAATTTTGCAAAGGGCAAATATAAGGGACCTCGTCCCAAGCGGTAAAAATTTATGACTTTCATACTTATAAGATAGAAAGAAGATAAAGATGTCAAGTGCTCTAAGGATAACAACGAGAGGAAATAAACATTCAATTCGTTGATTTAAAATATTTGTAACAAGTAAAGGAAACAGGTCTACATACTTGGACCATTGACCACATAACACAAGTACAAAACTACGTACTATGTAATAACACATGATGAACCTGCATATATATGCAAAGTTCAGTTATTCTAAACTCAACGATTTTTTCGTGCACAATTTCAAAAACATAAATAGAAATTAAATTGATGCCCG